TCCTCCTTTTGGTCTTGTATTAAAAAATTATTTAATATCATTTTACTTAAATTTCCTAATATTAATAAAAACATTATTACTATCACAATCTCCAATAATTTTTTTATTAAAATTGAAAATTGGAGCAAAAGATATTCTAGAACTTTTTAATTTTTAAATTAAAAATTCATAATTAATAATTATTAAAATTGAAATTACAAAAGTAATTGATATTTAGTTAGATATGGATTCAATTCCAATTACTAATAAACCACTGTGACCAGGGTATCATTCTTTATATAAGTATTAGTATTTATTAGAGTGGTTCATTCTGTACACACAAAGCTGGTCCATCCTGTACCACATGGTAGTTGGACACTAAAACGGACATGCCAAATAAATTAAAAAGGATAAAGGTGTCAAATCAACACTATCGTGTTCAGAAAGCATTATTTTATAGAAACTGACAAAAAAACAAAAACATACCGCTCGAAATTTTTCTAAAACACTCAAAAAGAAACAGACGAATATTTCACTTTTTCTCGCAAAAAAAGGAAAAGTGAAACAGTTAAATCGGCTACTAAAAACATTTAATAAAATTTACATCTGGTTATAGAAAGCCAAGAGACGTATATGAATTTAAATTTTAAAAAAATGTTAGCGCATGTTTACTATTTTTAATTTCGAAGGTCCTTTCGGTACCTGGTCCATTCGACCCCAGTCTCCCCTACTGTTTGTAAAAGTTGTAGAATGCATTTTTACAGGAATTGTCTAACCTGGGCGAACTGAATGGCGTGTTCGCTTGTGTCCTATTTAATCGCATTCGTCCTTTTTCGACGTCGCAGAGATTAATCGTTTTATACCTGGCAAATTTACGTCAGATAGAATCGTTACATTGCCACCAGAAATGAATTTAGACCACCACGGTTACGAAAGCTGCCATGCATTGACCTGCAGCTAGTTAGACCCAACCACGTAGTCATCTTAGGCCAACCTGCATGCCTGCAACCTTGTTGTCAACAGTGGAATACATTCATCCTGGAGACATGCTCGAAACCACACAAAGTGGAAACAGCTAGTGGATTATACTCGCTTAAAATAATTATCATAAATTGTTTTAAATTTATCAATAATCCTGATAATTACTAATCTATAGCACCAAATCCTCTCATGTGCAATGTAATGTTGGCCGTTTTCAAAGAGTAATTGGAAAAAATATTGTACAACAATTGGATGAACAGTAAACAAACTTTAGAAAAACAAAAGTGCAATTCAAACGAAACTAAAAAATTTAATAAACTTTTTTTTCCATTAATGTAATCGAAAAATTTTACTCGCCATATTTGTTATAAATATTTAAAATTTATTTTAGAAATAAACACTATAATTTTCGGCAATTATTTTGATGTCAGTATTTTAAATTTGTCTACATGTATGAGTGATTTTGAGTGTCTATGATGTAAGAGTGTGCGCGTATGTGAGTGGTCGTGTGTGACTGTGTAAATATTCTTAGATTTTTTAGACCCCAAAACCGAATATAGCAACTCTTCTAAACCATTCCTTTATTGAATTTCAGCACAATAACTGTTGGGGGATTATTATTAGCGGAAAATTTATTTTGGCCATTATAGCTGATTTTAAACGAGAAATTGAATGTTATTTCGTTTAAAAAAACGTTTGAAAAACACAATTTGCTTGCTTTTTTCAATGACTTGCTTTTCATTCCAAAAAATTTTTCAATTTTGTGTTTTTTGGTTATTTGGTCATTCATTATTCGGTGCTTTATTCTACTTTTTATCTTTATATACTAGTTGTTTTATCATCTTGTTAGGTAATGCTTTCGACTATCAATTTTGATTTTTATGACTTGAGTTAAGTGATTGTTATTTTTCAACTTACAATATTTTAACAAAACTTCTAGGACAAAACGGGATTCAGCACACAATTAAAAAATCACTAAAAACCGGCACAATTTTTCAAATCTAAAAGATATCTTCTACAACACCCATCTCAAACAGAAAAGTTATCTAATTATCTCCAGCAATCACAATTTTAGTAAAATGTTTACCGGCGCAATTTTTCAAATCTAAAAGATATCTCCTACAATACCCATCTCAAACAAAAAAGTTATCTAATTATCTCCAGCAATCAAAATTTTAGTAAAATGTTCACTGCTCATCCGTTATTGTCTAACACTAGCTAACCATTAAAATAGCTTTAGAACACAAAACATTCAACAAGATTTCCTTGAATTTACACCAAGTTTCAATAAGAAAAACACCTCATCAAATAATTTCTAGTTTCACCACAAGCATTCAACACAGTCAATCATTATCTTATTAGTAATGTTGTATTCAACAAATACGATTAATTGAATTGTAATTGAATTAGGAAATTATTGTTATTCATTTTTTATTTTCTATGATTATAATTCTAGGTGTCCACCATTATTTACGACCACCTAGGGACAAATTAGATTATATATAAGATATATGCACGATTTAATAGAAAGTGGATGAGCTTTGGATTATCGAGTTGAGCCATGAATTATGTAGCTAACGAACAATCTTGTGATTTATTACTGTTGTTGTGGAAATAAACATTTAAAGTGTTCGAAGCAGTGGTTTTTCTTGTTTTTCTTTCCTACGATTGATTGAATAACTTAACGATAATTTTTAACAAAATCAAACAACAATCCCACATATTAACCCAAAAAGAAAGGTAAAATACACTACCGCTTGAACACATTCACCAAATTTTGGTTTTTTGATTTTTTGCTCAACATCATCGCAACTCACTCGAAAAAGAAAAACTAAAACTGTTTTCAGAAACAGATTTGAACTAAACCAAAAGAAAGAAAAAAAACAACATTAATACAAGACAATAACTAGACCAATAATAAAGTATGCCTTCCTAGTCTATACTCCAAACTCATGAAAAACAAATTTACAAAAACTACACAAAATTTGGGCGGCAACAAAAATATTTATACTATGAATGCAAGATACAAATCGTTAATACACCAGAGCTCCTACAACTTCTAGTAAGGTGTTAAATAAAACAATGCATCGATGCCATAACACCATTAAGCAACTAATAAATGAGCGCCGAGTAAAAAGCACTGATGATTCCACAAACAATTCAGCAAGCCATCAAACAAATACAAATCATAAATCTATTCAGTCAACAAACCAGTAGTAACTACACCTTTCTATATAAACGATTTTATATGATGGTATACGGATAATCAGATTACAGAGATTGAAAAGAAAAAAATACATCTCAAATGTCAAAATACATATGTTACGCTAAAAAATGAAGAAATGTTATTGACACAATTGAACGCTAGCTGATCCGCAGGACCAGATGGAATACATTTTAGAGTTTTGTGGGAAATTCGAAGTTTAATTAGTATCTATCTATGCAGATTATTTCAACGGTCATTAGAGGAAAGTTTTGTTTTCGATGATTGGAGGTTAAGTCATGTGATACCGTTGTACAGGAAGGGAAGAAAAAACCTGGCCAGAACTATCATCCAGTGGCCCTCACATCAATTAGTTGTAAAATCATGGAAGCACTGATAAAGAACTATATCATGAAATATTTGATTACGTAGTTTTTTATATTTTAACACTTGTTCTCCAGAATTTTCTTTGATTTTTAAAATTACCCCAGTTGTTTTAGTGCTGAAAACAAATACACAAACTATTTTCTTCAACTGATCAACAAAAATTAAATAAAATTAATATAATTGAATTATTAATTAATGTATTGATATATTTTAAAGAAACTATTCATTTTACAAATATTTAATTTAAATAAATTGTTGATATAATTATAATTCATTTTCCGTATTACCACCTGCGTTAATATCTTATTATTTTGTTTAATGATTTTTTTTAATCGTTTTTAAAATTTCAATTATTTTAATTTAACAGGTAATGTTGATTCATTGGCTTCCATTTCGCCCTTATCTCAAGAAAATCCAATGACTCTGTTGTCATCGGTCTCTTCACCTTTACACATATCGGCGATTTCAGTAGCACCTTCAGACATCTGTAACTTCAATAAAGAATCAACATTGCGATTATCCAAGCCTCTGATTACAAGTTCTACGCCTTTACCCTGTTTATCATCAACCAAACATCAGTTTCTATTGAACTCTGAGGAGTGTTTTAAAAATGTCCCTTTGAACTTTGATATGTTAGTTATGAACGATTCATCAGGGGTGTGTGACATGTTCGATTAGTTAATTATTTAAAAAATCGAAATCCGACCTATAAAAAGTTGCTATATATGATTCTAGATTTTTTACTTCCGAAGTTTTTGTCAACTTTGTTATTATTCTAATAACAGCGGTTATATTAACTGACAAGTTTTTATGCTTTTCTATTAATATTTTTTAACAAAAAATCAATGAATCGTGAATTTTATTGCTAAACAAATAATTTTTTATGCTCAAAATTTGCCAGATCAATTAAATATTTTTTATGTTTAATTTTATACTTTTGTAGCTTGCTCTTGATTTTTACTTTCGAAATTCTTTTTGTTTAAAGCAGCGATTACGTCTTAACGAGTTTTTGCAGCCAAATTTTTTTAGCTGAATTCATGTTATTACATATTTTATAGATACTTTCAACGCAAGTTCACGTTTAAGTTTATGTTTGAAAAGCTCAGTTTTGTGTGTAAAAAATCCGACTTATAAAAAATTTTGTTTCAAGCATATTACTGCCAACAATTCGGTAATCATAGATTTTTCAATTTTAAATATAAAAAATATGTATATACAAATTAATAATTTGTGTAATTTAGCAAAATATTTGGCAAATGAATTGCCTTTTCTGTTTGCATTTGCTTTTTGGTTCGACGCATGTTGACTGCACGTTACAAATGTGCTATGTTTTGATGTGCCATTTAAATTTTAATATTTTAAAAAGTTTCGGTTGAAACTTGGATCATGGCGGAAGATTCGTGACCCGGTTCAATTATGACAAAAAAATCCACTCCTATCACATTATTATTAATTTTCGATCCTCCTTCGGTTCCTGTGACCTAAAATCTAAAAATGTTTCATGTTGTCGAACATGGCACCTGTCACCTAAAAAATTTGGAGAATCACCTTGACTCTTGCTGCACCTAAAACCTGTAATGTTTGAAAAAGAAGCCCCACGTTGGGCGCCAATTGTAGATTTTCGCCGGGCGACATCCGAATTTCGCACCACGCGGTCCCGAACCGCGTCCGCATACGTTCGCCTCGACGGAGTTTTTCCTGGCCGGGATCCGCCACTCTACAATAGACCCTGTCAGGGTCTGAAAACACGGGCCGGACGGAAGTTTTTTCGCGCCCTGCTTGTTGACTAGAGACGCCGACCTCGTCAACTATCATCAAGTCTTCTTCAACATCCATTATTTTAGGTAGAATAATTAAGCCGAGCCAAATTTCAAGTGTACACTTCTTTTATTCAATAAAAGAAACAAAATAACAAACAAAATAATACAAATCAAACCTCTGTCTTTATTAAAAAGCGATAAATCAAAATTAACAATCTATTAATAATACAACTATCAGGCAGACGAAACCAAGCTAGAAACAAAACTTAAAATAAAAATAACGAACGACCAGCCTTCTATATCTCAACTCGCGGCCTTCTATATGTTTTTACCGCCCTATCTACATAACGCTTTCTATATCATAGAAAATTCTATACTCACATCTATACTCTTTTCCTATACTCAGAACAGCGCGTAGCACGCGTCGCGTATATTGCATATCAATAACAAAATATACATGCATAGAATGTCTATTAAAATATATACAGGCGGCACATATCATCACAATCGTCACAATTTTACAAAATATACAGGCGGCATATTTCAATCGCGCAATCATTATCATCATAATCGTCACAACTTTACAATATTACTGCCAACAATTCGGTAATCATAGATTTTTCAATTTTAAATATAAAAAATATGTATATACACATTAACAATTTGTGTAATTTAGCAAAATATTTGGCTAATGAATTGCCTTTTCTGTTTGCATTTGCTTTTTGGTTCGACGCATGTTGACCGCACGTTATAAATGTGCTATGTTTTGATGTGCCATTTATATTTTAATATTTTAAAAAGTTTCGGTTGAAACTTGGATCATGGCGGAAGATTCGTGACCCGGTTCAATTATGACAATAAAAATCCCCTCCTATTGAGATAGGATGGAAGGAGTGGATGACGAACGGACACAACTGCACCAATGCTTCGGCTTTGTGTGTGATGCGTCGTTTAGCATGTATTCTTATACGATTTTTGAAAAGGATTTTTTAATACACAAACAAAAATTAAATTAGACTAAAATCATACTTGCTTCAAGAATTGCTGGCCCTTGCAAATAAAAAATAACTGGTGAATGAAGAGATGAAGCCATATGTTGATAAAGTAAAAAAAATATTAGGTTAGTGGAAACAAGAAAATGTTTTGTGGCCAGTACGAAAAAAAATCATTACCTATGTAACGAACCACCTGGATGTTTTTAAGAATAACGATGGGTTCCTTAGTAGACGTTGCTCACTTGCAATTTTTGGAGTGCACTCACATGTAAAATGTTAATAAATACAACTTCGAGAAAGTTTGACGCTCGTTACTATCGGCACCAATGTTATAACTTCAATGATCTATATCTTCATTACCAGTGCTGTAGCTTCCAACTATCGTCAAGTTATCCGATATTAATTTTAGATTAATATGCATAATATAGATTAATATTAATAATAAATATCTTAAAAATTAATTGTGGCAAAATAAAATCGCACAAACATTGCGAAATAAGCGCACATTGAAATAAGGGCATATAGAAAAAAGCGCATAGCGTATTGAAACGAGCGCGCACAGATTAATGCATACTTTATTAACCAACGCAGATCGAAGCTGACACTGACATAACGCACACAAATAAAAAGATCACATTCGCAAACTTTATGGCTAACAAAACCATAAAACACAGTCCTATGCTAACACATCTAAAACATTTTTTGACGATTGACATTTAGTTATTTTTTATATATTAAAATATTTATTATAAAAAAACATATAACACGTCGGTAACACAGCTAACCTAAGAGGCGCTCGGAGTCTGCGTCCGCAAAACTTAATCATAGATTTAATATTTTGTAATTCTGATGGATGTCAAAACCAGGGTTCGAAAAATTGAGATTTTGTGGAATACGATTGGTTAGTTGGTTGTCATTTTTTCTGACACAGGTGTAGTTTGGGAATTTAATGTCTGCTGAAGTTCCGTTTGTAAATGGTGTCCCACGGGGTTCTGTGCTTGGACCTCTTCTGTTTCAGGTTTGTGTTGCTGATTACTTTAGAAGTGAATCTTTGGATATCTGTTCAGATGTATGCTGATGACATTCTAATTTATGATGCTGTCTGAAGTCGATGGTGTGTTTTATAATACTGTTGAAGGTATTGAGTACATAAGCTTTTGGTTGAAATGTAATCGTCTTGTTCATAATCCGAATAAAACAGAAATGATGTGGTTTGGCTTTTTAAAATTACTTAGAATAAAATAAATGTGTTATGTTCTATCATTAAATTGTTATGTCAAATCTGGGTGTTACGATAGATAATCATTTAAGCCTCAAAGTGCTCAAATTAATAAATCTTTTTTTATTTTAAAAATCTAAGATTTATTAAGATGTCTTTTGATGTATTTCATCATTTTTTGTAGCCTTTTATCATTTTTTTTGTTGTTTCAAAGGTAAATGTTTAAAAATTATTTTACCAAAGCTCTTATAAATTTTGGAATTGACTTTATACCGTTAACCTAAATCACATGATTCAAAGAAAACCATTTACCTGTAATATGTTGCTAAAACGGAAATGCTTGGATAACTGCCAGATTATTTTTAAAATGGTACCAAATGTTAAACAAAATATTGAAAATTATTCTTTTCTCATTTCTCAAAGGTAGACATAACATGATATAATATAATGTTGAAACATCAGGTCGAACAGTTCCAGCCACTACAAAAAGCAAACAATCACTAAAACTGAATAACTCTAATTAAACATGAATGTCAAACAATTCATACGACAAGCAACCAACTAACAAGCACGTCACTCAATCATCTCAATAAAACTCTACACTGAACCAAAGATTTGTAAAGAAAAATCAGAAATGGGTGATACAAATTTGTCAAAACCACTGTATTTAAAATTTTTTAACGATAAAATTGACTCGTAAACTTATTCAATTCGCTACCTGGAACGTCCGGACTGAACTGCTACGGAACGACCTACACGGCGAACCGCTCTTATTGTCATTGAGCTGAACAGATTCAAACTGACGTTGCTGCACTATTTAAATCTCTGGTTAGTGGGTGCAGGATGCACATTAATTTGGAAAGGTTTATCATGATCCGTGAATTCAATTTTTCTGTCCGTACAAACTTACTCAAAAACATTACTGATTCGCGGTTAGTGTTAACAAAAGACTTGTGTATATTGCCCATTTTATTTGCAAAACATTGTCAAATGACCATCTTAATCCAATTCTTGATGCAGAGGAATTGATGAAAAATATATTCTACAAATGCCTTCGTACCACCATTCAGAAAATACTTATAGATGACAAAATTGTAGTCCTTGGTGATTCTAACGCAAGGGTTGGAACAAACTACAGTCTAGACTGGCATCATTTTCAGAAATGATCTGAGAAACGTAAACAGTAACGGAATCAGACTCCTCAAACTTTGTGCTGAATTCGGATTAGTCATTACCAACAATCTTTTCAGCAGCTTAATCAAAGAAAGGCTATCTGGATACATACATTAACGAATAATTATTTTATGGAGTTTCGTCAACTTCTTGAAATCCTCACGCAGTTTAATGGACAAATCATCATTTTTTTTTGATTATCTTAAAGATCCCTCAAATATACATGCATCATCGTTATAATCATTGTTGTCGACGTTTGGCTATATTCAGCAAATCGATTTTTAAACGCATAAACAGTTATCGTCACCAGATACCGAAAATTTGGGTCAACTCGCCCATTGCTTCAGATCACAGGCTCATACCGTGCTCAATGGCTGTCGCTGTTCCCTCACTGCTCCATTTTGTTTTCAGACGTGTTCGAAACTACAAGAGGATCAATCGTAATATGTTCACTAGAGATTCGCTGAAGGGAGCGTTATCTGTGACGATAGTGTATAATCACAATGCGATGTGGACAAGCTATTTGATTTATACAACTCAACTCTCAGACAACTTATTGATCAGCACGTTTCAATCGGAAACAAAAGAGTTCGTTTTAAATCACGCAGTTGGTTTGATGAAGAATGCCAAAACGTCTAACTTTATACTTGCAAGTTAGAAAGAATTTATCGGTGAGGAAAGATAATGTTGATATGATCGTGAAAAACAAATCATTCACATTGAAAGAAAAAAATTATTTTCAATCGTTTATCATTTCTATGAGGAATGTTTTTTTATCATTACTAAAAAAAATTGACTGCTCGACATCGCCACCAATCAGAGCACAACAGTAGTGATTTAAAATAAATGAAACAAACACAATTCAGGCGTATAAAAGTATTAACTTTATTCTAACGTGACTCTTGAACCGTTTCGTTTACAAGCTCTCAGGAAAAAGGAAAGAAATCGAGAGAGAAGCAAAGACATAAAAATTAACATAGATTAGGTAACATTGAAATTTGCAATAATCTTTAATTATAATTGATATATAAGATAGTTAATAAATGAATGCTTGATCTCTACAATACTCCCCAACAACAGGCGGAGCCGTTTAAAAATAAAAATATTCATTTCGTTTGTTGAATGTTATTCGCCTCCCTTTCTGGAGTGTTGGGTTGTTGGTTCCGATGTGGTTGACGTCGGTCTTGTTTCTTGTGTTGATGTTGCGCTTGATATTGTTGTTGCTGTTTCTGGTGTTTTAGTAGATTTTGTGTCTGATATTGCTGGTTTTGTTGAATCTGTTGTAGAAAGTTTGTTGTTCGTTGTCGAACTATTCTAGTTGTTTATTCTGGTTTTGGTTGCTGGAGGTAATGATAAACAAGTTGGCTTTAATCGATCAATTGAAACATTCTGAAAATTTTTTGGTAACAATTCAATTTTAAAGTATTTGCTGTTACGTTTAATCACTTTGAAAGGACCTGTATATGGTTCTTCCAGTGGACGACGTACTCGATCTACTCTTAACCATACGTGACCATACTGTTTGAAAAGTCATTTCGTACGTAAGCTTTTGGGGTAGAGTGATGTTGATTGTTAGTCATTAAATTTAAACATTTCTCTTGCTAGTTGTTTGATTTGACTAGATGTTATATCTTTATTTGAATGTGGGAATAAAAATCGACTTGGTAATAACAAGTTGGTTCCTGTTACTGCTATTGCTGGAGATATTCCATTTTTATCTGGTATGTTTCTAAGTCCTAAAAGAACGACAGCTAATGCATCTAACCAGTTTTGTTTACGACAACTAATTGCTGTTTTTAAGGTACGATGTTGGCGCTCTTTTTTTCCGTTGGCTTGAAGATGATAACTTGTACGAAGACGGTGAAATCCAATTATTTTTGATAGTTAGTGAAATAATTCGCTCTCAATTTGTGTACCTCGGTCTGTGACAACATAAAGAGGGACACCGAATCGAGCGATCCAAATGTTCAAGAAAGTTGTAGCAACTGTTGAAGCTGATATTTCTATCATTGGCGCTGCTTCGATCCAACCAGTTGTTCTGTCAATGCATGTGAGTAAATATCTGAATGGACTTGAATAGGTTTCGTTTCCTTGCTTGACTGGTAGTAACGGACCAACAAATCTTGATTTGATTAATCGTATTGATGTTTTGATACCTGGATGTGAGAGGTTATGAAGACTGTCAAATATGGCTTTTCTCAAATTAACTGGAATGTATGGTCTGGGGTATGGTGTTGATACATCACAAAATATTTTTTTGTTATCGCCAATTGGATATTGTTTCAACTGATCCTTGGATGATTTTATTTCATCAATTTCTTTCCTACGGACGACAAGTCACAGACGTCTATTTTTACAGCATTTGCTGGCCGAGAGAGACAATATCTGACAGTCTTCACCGCGGATATAAATGACGTCTGCAATGTATTCGGATATCATGTAGTTTAGTTGAGATGCTGTGAATATTTGGAATTGAATATCTGTCTGGTTTCGTAATGGCACAACGATAATTTCCGCAAGCTCTCCATTGTCCAGGAGTACCTTTTGGAACTAAATGGAGTGGAGAGGCCCAGGGAGATATAGATTGTCTGATGATTCCGGCGTTTAGTAAAGACGTAAATTCCTCTTTTGCTACTTCAGACAGTTGACGAGCCTTGGCAAATGTTGGTTGGCTTTTACCAATGTCGATGATGTGTTTTACATTTGAGGTTAATTTTTATTTGATTTTCATTTCTTGGTTCAATCAGCATTGGAAATTTATTGATGAGTTTCGTTACTATCTGGGGAACTGGCGGTTTATTAATGTAAATCTGTTGAACGGAACTCTGCAAAACGTTTGTTATAATCGTTTTTTTATTATTGTGTCAATCAGTCTGTTATTGGTGCAATCGACAAGGATTTTATAATGACTTAAAAAATCTTTGCCTAACAAAGGTTTGACAATATCTGCAATTACAACATTATATTTGTATGTTCTGTGCAATGGTAGGAAGTGTATTTCAAATAATGCCGTTCACTTGTTAACCTCGAGTGGTCAAAACAAGTGTTTTGACCACTCGAGGTTGACAAGTGAACGGCAGTTGGTTGCAAACATAATCTTGTTGAAAATTTTGTTGAGATGATTGTGACTGCTGCGCCTGTATCTACTATTAATTTTAATGTTGTGCATCCAATTCTTGCGGCAACTTCAAAAAGAGGCTAGCCGATTGATGCGACTTCGGCTCGCCTGATCAGTTTTCCAACGGCTGGGGTGAAGAAATGTTGTTTATGGATGATCTCATCTGGGTTGGAGGTCTTGAAGATGGTTGAATTTGTAATTCTGGTTTTGTTTTTACGTAAACCGCTGTAGTATCTCCGATCAAGCGAGCGAACAATTCTGGTTTTGTTTTTACGTAAACCGCAGTTTTGAGGTTGTCATGATTTCTATCATGAAACGATTGTTGTGGTTTTGCAACCAAATCTGTCGGTAGCGATGATAGAATATGATAAAATTTTGTTTCCAATGAACTAACTTTTCGGAGATGAAATTGAGCTTCAGCAATTGCAAACTATCCTGTCGATGCTGTATCCATAAAAGTGGACAACATGATGGATTTCATGTCGATATTATGTAATCCTGATTTCGCCATGTTAAAAATTTATTACGGGAAAGTCTTTGATTCACGTCAGAAGAATCACGGTGGATTTTCGTTCTAATCACGTGGGATTTTCGTTAAAATCACGTCGGGGTCACCAATTTGTTAGTACGAACTTTTGCTACTAACAAGACACTTTGTTGTGAGTTAAAATAAATAAAACAAACACAATTCAGGCGTAATAAAATATTAACTTTATTCTAACGTGAATCTCGAACCGTTTTGTTTAAACGCCATCACCAAACCGGACAGGCATCCACTTCTTAACATTCATAGTGTCTCAGCCAAACTCAACAACAAAAAAATGTTTTCAAAATTAGATTTGCTGAAAGTGAAAATGATGTTGAAAAAACGGCTGTAATAATACCAATCGGACTTTTTGAATACCTGTTCATGTCATTTGGTTGGTTTACGAAATGCAGGATGCACTTTTCAGAGGTTCATGGCCTACTATTTTTCAGTAGGGGAGACTGGGGTCGAATGGACCAGGTACCGAAAGGACCTTCGAAATTAAAAATAGTAAACATGCGCTAACATTTTTTTAAAATTTAAATTCATATACGTCTCTTGGCTTTCTATAACCAGATGTAAATTTTATTAAATGTTTTTAGTAGCCGATTTAACTGTTTCACTTTTCCTTTTTTTGCGAGAAAAAGTGAAATATTCGTCTGTTTCTTTTTGAGTGTTTTAGAAAAATTTCGAGCGGTATGTTTTTGTTTTTTTGTCAGTTTCTATAAAATAATGCTTTCTGAACACGATAGTGTTGATTTGACACCTTTATCCTTTTTAATTTATTTGGCATGTCCGTTTTAGTGTCCAACTACCATGTGGTACAGGATGGACCAGCTTTGTGTGTACAGAATGAACCACTCTAATAAATACTAATACTTATATAAAGAATGATACCCTGGTCACAGTGGTTTATTAGTAATTGGAATTGAATCCATATCTAACTAAATATCAATTACTTTTGTAATTTCAATTTTAATAATTATTAATTATGAATTTTTAATTTAAAAATTAAAAAGTTCTAGAATATCTTTTGCTCCAATTTTCAATTTTAATAAAAAAATTATTGGAGATTGTGATAGTAATAATGTTTTTATTAATATTAGGAAATTTAAGTAAAATGATATTAAATAATTTTTTAATACAAGACCAAAAGGAGGATGAGGTCAAGAGCATTAAACGCCAAAAAAGGTGGATGGAATGAAGAA